AATGCTCTTAATTGGCAAGAGCCAATCAGGGGGAAGAGAGGTCTCCTCCCTTAGTCATTGCTGATGGTGGCGCAGCTCTTGGTTTCAAAGGGAGAGGGATTCCAAGCCCAGTCTCGCTTTAGGACACAGTGACTTCAGCGCTGAGTCTTCCCAAGGGCATGCCCTAGACCCCAACATTCTTGACACTGGTTTGAAGGTGAGACCCATAAAACCCAGGCCCAGCCTCTGCTCAGTTTTGGGCTCAGGAGCCTAGCTGGTGACAAGTGACCAGTGGCCTGGTCTCTGCTGGCTCCTCCTTCCCTGTCCTAAGTTGTTAGGGAGGAAACTCCAGTGCGGCCTCAGGCAATGGGAGGAATCCCCTTTTTGGCTACTCAGGCTCCCCACCTGCAAAAGCCGGTGCACCTGACACTCTGATGCGCCTCCGGTTCCAGCACGGTGGTTCTGCACCTGGGGCCCTGACATCGGACAGTCTGAGGGAACTCTCGGAAGCACGGTGTCAGTCTAGGTACAAGCACTGAGACCACAGGCTGACAGATCCAGGGAGTCTAGTCAAGCAGGGTGGAGCATGACCTCTAAAAGCCCCCAAATGTAAAGCAAGAGGGAGTTGAGTCTGTCATGCCTATAACCTTGTACCCTTCTCCCAAGATATTTTTCTTTTGTTCTCCCCAAGGGTTGGTTTAAGGAGAGAAAGGGATGGGTTCACCTGGAGAAGCAGTTTTGCCCCAGATAGCCAATGCTCCGGGTTGTGAGATCATGCCCCATGTTGGGCTCTGTGCTGGGCGGTGCTGAGCCTGCTCGGGATTCTCTGTCTTCCTCTCCCTCTTCTCTCCCTTCTTGCGCACACGCTCTCGCTCTCAAAAAAAAAATTTTTTTTAAAGATTTTATTTTTAAGTAATCTCTACACCCAACGTGGGGTTTGAACTTAAAACCCTGAGATCAAGAGTTGCATCGTCTACCGACTGAGCCAGCCAGCCAAGCACTCTGCCCCACTCCCTTCATTTTTGTAGCTTGTTGGGAGTTTCTCTGGAAATTGCTCCTGAATGTGAGCTCACCTCTCCTGAAACTGACTGAACAGGATGCAGGGGAAACCCGTCCTCTCACCCAGTGAGGAGGCAGAGGAAAATCTAAGTTTTAGGCTCAGGCTGGGCTAGGACAGGCTGAGGCCATGGTGACCAAATCCCAAAGTAGACATTACTTTGGCTCCAATTTAATTCAACATGGAGCACTGTCTGCCAGGGGCCCCATAATTATTCACACCATTTGGCCCTGACTTCTCTAAATGTTTTCTCATGTCAGATTATCTTAAAAGGTATCTGCACCCATGCCCTCAATTTGTATATTGAAACTCATTGTCCTCTTGATGTTGGGGCAAAGAGACAAGACACTTAGAAAACTCACTTTAATCTTGTATTTGTAGTTTAAGTTACTTTTTTCTAAACAGTTAAAAAAAAAAAACCAGAACACACTATTTTACCATGATCCTAAGTTGTGAACATATTGGTACCTTGACTACACATCACGATAACATAACCACAAAAGTCAAAGCAGTCAGTACTTAAGAGTCTAGAGAACAGAGGGCTGAGCCAACTGAAAGCTCTCAGGGAAGCTCACACTCGTCAGGCCTGCCCCAAAGCTGAAGTCCAGCGAACATCCCTCAGAACAGTCTCAATGGGCTTGGGTGATTTGGGAAGGTGTTAGTTTCCTTGGTACCCAAAGGTCTAACCCTCCTTGTTGGCCTTTTCCTTCAGTGTCCAAGAGGAGAAGGGGATAGAAGGGAAGGGACACTTTATAATGCCATTTACCACACTGATCCTTAAATACACACATAGCCAACCAGGAGCTGAGAGAGCCAGCTGGGTGGGCTGGAGAGCACATCTTTTAGAGGTCATCTAATTTTCTAAATTTCTCCAGGAAATTTTAGATCATAGGTACTCAACTTCCAACAGAAGAGGTTTCCGGGAAGTTCCACGGGAAATCAGGCAGCCATAATCGTGCTCTTTTGGTTTCTCTCCTCAGTTCCAAGGATTCTGAAGTCACAAATGAAGTACAGATAAAAACAGCAAGAAGCAAAACTCAGCTTTATTACCCTACGAGACGGCTATCTTTCTGGCACTGATTATGTTGAGACAATGGTAAAGTAAGAGGCTCTGGTCTGTCAGCGATCAGCCCAGGGAGGTTAACTCAGCCTGCAGGCTTTAGGTGCGCTTGTTACCAGTGAGAGTTATTCTAGGAGAGAAAAGAGGAAGGCAAGGAGGAGCAAGGGCACCTTTCCATGTTCTCCAGTTCTTGGAAAGTCTGTTCAACTCATCCAAACAGGGAAGGAGATCGGGAAATGTGGATTAAAGTGATATGGTAAACCTGATCATCAAAGAGCATGATGGTCACAGGTGGTGGGTATCTAAGCATCCCTTTTTCTGCCAGGAAGTACTTTCGGATTCCTCCAGAGTTAAGCTTGCAGCCTAGGCTCTCAGGACTGCACTATTCTGGGTTGGACTGCCTGCACTTCAGGCAGGAAGGCATTGCCATCTAAAGTAAATGGAAGATGCCAAGAAGGTCAACAATACCGAGGTATCTAATCTACTTCTAGGAAGGAAAAAAAAAACCCACTCTAATTATTTCCAATATCCACCCTCCCCGCCTCAAGCCCTTGGTTTCCATATACAATCAAGTGCTAAGCAAGGAGTGGACCAACCAACCACAGCTGCTCTAACCAGTGGGTACCAGGAGGCAGCAGGGGAGAAGAGTGCATATTTTCCTCTCTTCAGCTTATGACTTTACAAAAGAAAAATAAAAAGGGTTTTTCTTACTCAAGCAGAAAACAGAATGATTTAGGGGTCCCAGGGTTTTTTCTAGTTCAGAAGCAAGTTATGAGGGCCAGACTTTATTACATGTCAATAGAGTTCAGAGAGTCCTGTCTCTGAAGTTTCTGGTGAAGAGTCACCAGAAAAATCCCATTCACAATTCATGTCCACTTTCGAACTGCACATAGCAAAGGAAAAGGATGCTCTCAGCAGTGAAAATACACACATGTGCAGCAAGGTATGCTGGTTTTGTCCAAGCAGCCCCGGTGTGACTGGAGAGCTCCCACGTGCCCAGGGAGCTCCCAGGTGCGGGTGTGGGCACGCTCTCCTGTGTGCCTGCCTTTGGAGGGGCTTCCTCCCATCTTTATGAATCAGTTCTTTCAGGCCCACGTTGGCATTTTAGTGAGAAGAGACTAATCTACAATGGAGACATGCCATTTCTGAGTCAAGAGACTCCTTCAGCTCCTTTTCTACCATTCCGAGACTTTCTTTGTTTCTCTTTTCTTTTTAAAAAGGTCAAACTTTACATTATTCTAGCCCAGTTGGGGATTAGTGATAATCAATTCCCACTGAAATCATGCAGAGATGCTAAGTGTGGTTTACCTTCTCTGGAAATGAACTTCTACTTACCTGATTATTTCTTCTACAATGAACTGGTAAATGACCCCCAGAGCTGAGAAATGTGACTCAGTTTTTCAGACCACTTCACTTCATTCCCATTTCCATCAGCAGCAAAAGACAACTTGGAGAATATCCTCGATGGAACTAATGGCTCCAGACTGCAGGGTCCACCCTTGATCTCATTTATGATGTACTGGACAAGCCTCAGAACAAGCTAAGAAACAATCTACCTTCAACTGAACCTAGATGGGAGAGCAAAACCCTGGGCACCAATGAATATTCAACAGCTCCCACTTTCAAACAGCAGCATATAACAGAAGGGCTAGTAAAGTTATGGCTATTGGACAATATTTTCAAACAGCTTGAAATCCATGCCTCTTTAATACCTGACCTGTGTGTTATTCAGGGCTGATGGCCCTCTGCCTCATCTGTAGCAAAATCCTTAACCAAGCAAAGAGCCAAAAATAGTCAACACAATAGACAAGGAACTCTGATGATGGCTAAATAGAAAACATTTCTCTGTAGCATTTGGGTAGCTGGGAAGGGAATTATACTCAGAAAGTTTTCCCCAGGCAATGACATATTACACTGGGAAGTAGTTTCTGAATATAACCCGGAACCAAAAGCCAAAAGCACTCATGAAGTCAGAAGGGAAAAATGCATATACATAACTTGCCTCTCAATATGTAATAACAACACTCAGTCAAATCAGGAGGGAAGAGTGAAGGTGCCTTTTTCTTCCTCTTCCCTTTGCTGAACTCAAGGTGGTCTGGCTTTGAGGTCACCTGCAACTGGCTCCTGTTCTAATGCTTCTACAGCAGCTGATTTAAAAGGGAGCTTTTACTCAACTGCTTTGATTAGGAACAGAAACAACAGGCCTGACTGCTCAGCTTCCGAGGGAAACTAGAGACTGCGGTGTGGCCTTGGGCCTGTGATGGCTGTGCCCACGCCACACGAGATGGCTGGCACAGCTCCGTGCCTGCCCTGGGAAACATGCTGGGCACATGCTGGTTGTATACCCTGTGCTCCCAGGTTGGGGTGGCACACGTGCCCTGCACCTGACACCCATACAGCTGCCTTTCAAGTAGCCAGGTTGGCCTGGCCCTTGCTGAGGTCCATTTGTTTATGTTGCTTACCCACTTCCAGAGAAACTTTATTGGTTAGGGGGAGTGGAGAGTTAACTAAGGCTGGAGGAGGAAGAAAAGGAAAGAGAAGGCAGTTTCTGCCCCATTAGTAAACCCTGTGTGCCAAACTTCACCCCGATCCTCTTTTTGGCAGCTCTGCCCTTTTGTAAGTATGGGATTTGCGAAATGCAGGAGGAAGGTTCTACAGTGCAAGGTTGAGATGATTAGCTTGCTTTCTGAGAGATGATATTTACTGTTCTAAATGAGAAAGAAATCCACTTCTAACCCTGACCACTTCTTCAGCTGCTCTGATCATGGTCTTGGCAAAGATACAGGCGCCTCGTGCTTACAGACCCTGATGAGCAAATCAGAGAAGTGAGCCGTTATGCAGAATGCGCCCAGCAACTGGCTCCAGCCATTTCAAACCTTTCTTTCGGCTGAGCCTTACCAGTGATTTAAGATGAAGTACAATGCTTTTTATTACACATCTAATTGTTAATGAGAGGAAATGCAATCAGCAGCTCCTTTCCACACTCTACATGGCATCAAGGAGACTGCTGAGTCCAGAAAAGATGCGGCCATTGATGGAGCCCAGGCAATTTCTGCCCCTGCCCCCACCATTTTTGGAGGCGGGTGGTGTTAGAAGAAGAGAGAAGAGTTGCAAATATGATGAGGGTACCTTCCAAGAACCCACTGCTGCCACATAGGGTCACCTGCAGCAAAAGCCTGGGTTTGAGATTCTGACCGAACAGCATTTAGCTCTTCCAGGTGTGGCATTTTCTCGCTGATTTGGCTCATGTTAACTGAGATTACTCTCTTCATACTCTTTCTTCTCAGGTGGCGCAGAAAAAGGCTGAAGGGGGGTGTGGGAGTGAGAGGGGACGAGGGAAACAGAGCAAGAGATGAAAGGAAAGAGGCCCAGATCTTCCAGTGTGGATTCTTGTTTTCTTTCTTTCTTGCCCCAAAGGCCATAAGACGGCTGTCTCCTCCTAAGCACAGTGGGGCTGAGCTGATCCTGCCAGGTGCTGGGCATTCCTGTGGTTCACAGGGAGAAATTGGGTGCTGTCTGGCTTGAAGTTGTATCCCCTGTCCCCTAGAAGTTGGTCTCCCAGAAGGCTATATGGGGAAACTAGTTCTTCTGCTTAATGGCAAAGCAAGAGAGATTCTGGCAAAACACTAAATATATTTATAAGTCATCTTTGTCTGGAACCAAATGAGGAAAAACAGGTGCAGAGAGGAAAGGAGGAGGGGAGGTGAGGTGAGGTTTAAAAGTTCCAATCATTCACAAAAGATAAAAGACATCTTCTGATAGCAGCACGGAAGCAGTCAGCTGTGCTGAGTAGACCGTCCTGGGTCGACTGCAGACCAACTGTGTCCCAACAGGAGTCTCAAATCCCTGTTCCTCGGCTAGTCCGGGGAAGTGGGTAGTAGTTTGATTGTTACTGTTGTTGCTCATCCTGGTATTGGCAGATATGTTAAATACCGCAACTTTAATGAGTCCTGTGTGAAAACAGAGCACAGAGTCATTAGTCCCTTTCCCTACATTTCTCACTTGCTCTAAGAGGAGAAGAATATTAACTCAGCTGTCAATTGGGAGAAAGGCTCAGAGGGCCTTCCTAACACCTGCTCTCTGACCATGCCAAGCAGGAGCTTCTGTCAAAAGCCACGTACCCTGCCTGTGACATGGTGGGGCTCACTGACATGCTCAGGGCCCCAGCGCTCATGCAGAGTAACTCTGATGCCTTGAGATTAAGAGTGACTCTGGTTGGTATATCATCAAGCTCCCACTGGCTCCCTGTAACAGTGTAGTAGATGAGGCTCGCTCTGAGGTTCTGGCCCCGAGTGGCCAGAGGCACAACTGTGCCACAGCATAAGTGGGGCAGCTGGGCGAAGCTGTCTGGCCACCTGGCTGGAGGGCCCCGGCCGAACATGTGAAAGTCTGACTGTTGGAAATGTGCACTAGATGGGCTCCTGGTACCTTCAAGGCCAGATGTGTAGGTGGTGGCTGGTAATGTGGCCTGGAGATTAAGACAGAGGTTGGGACTAGAGATACAAGTTTGAGAGTCATCTACACTGAGATGAGAGCTGAGAAAAAAGAACCAAAACAGGAAGTTTCGATAAGGAAGAAAAGCCCAAGACACACTCTTAGGGGATGTTTATGTTTTAGGGGTGAGAGGAGCTAGGAGACATAAACAGAGAACCAGGAAGGATATTTTAAGTGCTAAAATGCCACAGCAATCTAATGAGGAGGAAATTTTGGTAAAAGGAGGCGACAGGTACATGACAACTACAGTATTACTAACAACAACCACTTTTTACTGAGGGCTTGTTCTGTGCTAGGCACTGTGCTAAGCTCTGAGAATTTTACATACAGCATTTCAAGGCAATCCTCACTATGGCTCTGTGAGGTAGGGATTGCAACCGATCTTACCAGTAAGGAGTCTAAGGCTCTGGAAGTTGCCTGCCCAGGGATTCTCACCTAAGCCTGCCTGTGTGACTTGGCTGAGGGATAGGAAGCAGCGAGCAATGAAATGAGCCCAGCAGCAGCATGGACGACCCCACTTAGAAGAACCATTACGGGAAGACGTGCAGAAAAGTGTACGAATTCTGTCCTTCTGCCATAGAAGTGAGGGAAGCATGGGGAATGAGAAACCACAATGGCAGCAACACTGCCCAGGAGTGCAGCTTTCCCAGCCCGGTGACAGCCTAATGAATGGATCTGAACTGCTGGACACTGGGTGTGATCTGAATATACTGTAACACAGGATGTTCTCCTGTTGCAGAGGCTGGTTGGAGACTCCAATGGGAGAGTACACGGAGTTCTCACCAACTGCAGAGCTGCTTGCAAGGTCAAAAGACAGTTCCTTTCATTTTTGGAGGGCCTGGGGGCGGGGGATGATGATAAAAAAGCCACTTTTTATAATCCAAGGACACTGACAAGACAGAGCTGTGAGAAGTCAGCAAAAAGATGTCACCAAGAAAATTTTCCACTCACACATTACTTACTTGGCTTAAAGGGTCTCTATTACAGGAACTGGTTTGATCTGGGAACTACAAAGTCATAGGCTTATGGGTCATTACTCTTAGTTTTGAAATGGATTCAAATCTCATTTTATTTTCTTAACAATCCTATCAGATAACTGGGGTGGGAATTATTCATTCTACCACACAAGGACCACCCAGATCTAGTTCAAGAATCATGTAGAACTGAGGCTAGCTACCTTGATGAAAGACAGTGTCCAAAGCGCAGCCCCAGCCCTGTCTCATGTTGTTGGCTTTATCTGCTTTACAGGAATTGGAGAGATAAAAGGTACAAGAAGGCTCCATGAGCTAGCAACACCTCACAGCCAAGATTCCTACCCACCGTGATATGTACACAATTCTTTTTCATACCTGGGCAAGTATGAGGTCACTGTATGATTATTTATCTGGAGATATAGGTGTATGTTCGAGAAGGGGAGCGGGGGGGCTCAGCTTGGGCAGCTGGATCATTTAGGAAGTCCCAGATGAGGATTGTGTCATCATGTGAACTACTGACAATCTGGAATTCATCAAACTGGAGTCGGAAAACTCTTCCAGAATGCTCCTAAAGCAGCAGAAACAAAAACTTTTGAACTACTCAAAATCAAAAGGACACAAATTCAGCAACATGTCAAAAGGAGTCAACGGAAAAACTATGGTATGATGATAGTTTTCTCTAATATTTAGCCGTTTCAAGAACACAGAGAAAAAGTAACTTGGATTAAAGGTAGAATGGGAAAATCAAATATTGGGCAGCTGATTTCGAACAATCCAAGTTATATTCACTAGAGCTGAGCTGTGTCAAAGAGTCTGCTGGTTTCTCACTGCTACCTCTCCTTGTTTTAGGCTGAACGAGAACATTCCTTAGTACCTACCTGGCCTTATCCTCTTTTTGTATCTGCTGGATTCTTCTATAGTCAGAGGCCAAGGATTGATGAGCAGTAATAGGAGGCACGGTGGAAGATTGTTTATCAATGAATTCTCTCCAATTTGTAAAAGCATTCACACATTTTCATGGTGCAAAAATTCCTACAGTGGCTAATTTCAAGCTACCCATGTGAGGTCAACTGGCTTGCAAAACTCATGAAAATTTAAGTGCTCTCATGGCCCTTACTCAATACTACCTTTGCCCCAGTGCTTTCTTTGTATCAATTCATTTTTTTTTCTATTCGTGAATTTTACATAAATAAACGCATATAGCATGTATTCTTTATGCCTGGCTTCTTTTACTCAACAGTGTAAGATTCCTCTTTGTTACTGCATGATTTTTTTTTTTTTTTTTTTAATTACTGGTTGACATTTGAACGCACTACAATCTATCTTTCCTCCTATGGTGGACATATGGCCTGACCTAGTTTTGGCTATATAATAAAGCTGCTATAAACATTTATGTCCATGTTTTTTGATGGATATATGCTCTCATCTCACCTGCTGGGTAGACTGAGCTGCTAGGCCACAGAGGAGGTATGTTTGGCTTTAGGGGGCACAGGGAAACAGTTTTATAAAAGTTGTGCCAGTTTATACTGCCACCAGCAATGTATCAGAGTTCCAGTTTCTCCACATCTTCACCAACAAACTGATACTGTCAATCTTTTTAATTTTAGCTATTTTGGTTTTTATTAGAGTTTTAATTTGCATTTTTAAAAAATATTTTTATTTATTTCTAGGAGAGAGAGAGAGAGAGAGAGACAGCGTGAGCAGGGGAGGGTCAGAGAGAGAGGGAGACACAGACTCTGAAATAGGCTCCAGGCTCCGAGCTGGCAGTCAGCACAGAGCCCGATGCGGGGCTCGAACCCATGAACCATGAGATCATGACCTAAGCGAAAGTCGGACGCTTAACCGACTAAGCCACCCAGGCGCCCCAATTTGCATTTTTCTTTATGAAGTTGAGGAAGTTCCCCTCTATTCCTAGTTTGTTGCGAGTTTTTATCATGAATAGATACTAGACTCTGCTAAATTATCTTTTCTGCATCTACTGATATAACCATGTGATTTTTCTTCTTTAGCTCTTTGATGTGATGGATTAAATAGTTGATTTTTTAAAAATATTAGGGGCGCCTGTGTGGCTCAGTTGGGCAAGTGCCCAACTTCGGCTCAGGTCATGAGCTCATGGTTTGTGAGTTCAAGCTCCATGTCGGTCTCTGTGCTGACAGCTCAGAGCCTGAAGCCTACCTTAGATTCTGTGTCTCCCTCTCTCTGCCCCTCCCCTGCTCGTATTCTGTCTCTGTCTCTCTCTCAAAAATAAACAAACATTAAAAAAAATTAAAAAAAAAAAACAGTTCTGTACATCGGGAATAAATACCCACTTGGTCACAGTGTACAGTTTTAATACACTGTTGAATTAAATTTGCTAATATTTTGATGAGGTTTTTTTTTTTAAAAGAGCTACTTCTATAAGAGCTGGCTTATTACTACTACTTTTTCAATAAGTACAGAAATTTTCTTTATTGTGAAATCACTAAAATATAAGCACAGTGACAAGACTACACTTAAATCTTAAGCAAATAGTTTAAAACATTACCCAAAACTCCTGTCTAATAAACTCATTCGTCATACAATTGTTTGCCTATTACATTAGTATTTTTTTTTAATGTTTTCATTTATTTCTGAGAGAGAGAGAGAGAGACAGCGTGAGCAGGGGAGGGGCAGAGAGAGAGGGAGACAACAGAATCTGAAGCAGGCTCCAGGCTCTGAGCTGTCAGCACAGAGCCTGACGTGGGGCTCGAACCCATGAACCATGAGATCATGACCTGAGCTGAAGTCAGATGCTTAACCAACTGGGCCACCCAGGCACCCCTATTACATTAGTATTTTTAAAAAACATTTTATTTGGTAAAAACCACACAAAATTTACCATCTTACTTATGCATTGTTAAGTGTATAGTTAGTTCAATGCTGTTAAGTATACATTCACAATGCTGTACAATCAATATCCAGAACTTTTTCATCTTGCAAAACTGAAACTCTACCCATTAAATAACAACTCCCTATTTCTCTTTCCCCCCAACTCCTGCAACCACCATTATACTTTCTGAGTTTGACCACTTGTAGATACTTCATGTAAGTACAATAATATAGTATTTTGTCTTTTTGTGACTGGCTTGTTTCAATTTAAATAACATCCTCACATTTTATCCATGCTGTAGCATGTGACAATATTTCCTTTCTAAGGCTGAATAATATTCTACTGTACATATAAATACCCCATTTGGTTTATTCATTCATCTGCTGATGGATACCTGGGTTGCTTCCATGTCTTGGCTACTGTGAATAATATTGATACGAACTGCATATGCATTCAATGCTTTTGGATATATACTCAGAAGTGGGAGTGCTGGATCATACGGTAATGCTATCTTTAATATTTTGAGAAACCCCATACTGCCTTGCATAGAGGCTGCACTATTTTACACTCTTCACAAGAAGTAAATGAACTCCTAGATGAGAATCTGTGTTCACGAGACATACTCATCAGTACTTTTCTTGTAACACCTTTGTTTGGTTTTGGTATAAGGGTCATGCTGCCCTCACAGAATCAGTTAGGAAGTATTCACTCTGCTTCTATCTTCTGTAAAAGATTGTGAAGAATTGGTATTAATTTATTCCTTAAAAATTTGGTAGAACTCACCAGTGAACCCATCTGGGCCTCTGCTTTCTGTTTTGTAAGGTTATTAATTTTGGATTCAATTTCTTTAATAGGTTGAGTCCTATTCAGATTGCCAATTTCTGCCTATGTGAGTGGCAGAAGATTGTATCTTTCAAGGAATTGATCCATTTCATCTAGGTTATCAAATTTGGGGGCATATAGTTGTTCACAGTATTCCCTGATTATTATCCTTTTAATGTTCATGGAATCTATACTGATACAAAATTGGGTTTAACATTTAGATGCACATAAAAGCAATTAACAAAATCCGTTCCCAATAAAAACTCTCAGGAATCTAGGAACACAAAGAAACTCTCTAATTCCCTGATAATGGGTATCTACAAATCTCTATACTTGTATACGGCAAATGTAAAAGACCAATGTCTTTTCCCCAAGATAAGGACATCTACTCTTCCCAATTCTTTTATACACTGTACTGAAGGTCTTAGTACAATAAAACAAGAAAGAGAAATGAAAGGTATACACAGATTGCAAAAGAAGTAAAACTATTTTTATATATTCGTAATGGAACAGTTTAGAAATTAAAACTTTTAAATACCTCCCCAAATTTTTAAAAATACTATTTATAATGGAATTAAAAATACAAAATACTTAGGGATAAATATGACAAAAGATGTGTCAGACCTTTACCCTGAAAGGTAAAAAAACACTGTCTGGAAATTTTAAAAGACCTAAACAAATGGAGAGATATACTGTGTTCATGGACCAGAAGACTCTGGGTTGTTAAAAGTCAATTTCCTCCTAACTAATCTAGATTCATCATAATCCCAGTGAAAATCTCAGCATGGTTTTTTTTTTTTTTTGGTTGTTGAAATTGGCAAACAGATTCTAAAATTCACATGAAAATTCCAAGGACCCAAAAATTTTTGAAAAGGAATGAAGTTGAAGGGCTTACCCTACCTGACTTCAAGAGTTAATAAGCTGCAGTAACCAAGAGAGTACAACACTGGTGTCATGATAGACAAAAAAAGATCAATGGAACTGAAAGGTCCATCAGTAGACCCACATATATATGGTCAGTTGATTTTTGACAAAGCTTCAAAGGCAATTCAGAGGAAAAGGACAGTCTTCTGAATAAAACAGTGCTGGAACAACTGGATATGAACTTTGATCCGTATCTGTACCATCTATAAGAATGAACTCAAAATCAATGACAGACCAAAATGTAAAGCTTAAAACTACAGGAATTCTAGAAGAAAACACAGAAGAAGCTCTTTGCGACTTTGGATTAGGCAAATATATATATATATTTTAGATATAATTGCAAATAACATAATCCATAATAGAAAAAGTTGATACACTGGACTTAATGAAAATGAAGAACTTCTGCTTTTGAAAAGATACTTTTAAGAGAATGAAAAACAAAGCATGGACTGGGAGAATATATTTGCGAATCACGTGTCTCCTAAAGGATGTGTATCCTGAATACGTAAAAGAAATCTCAAAACTCAGTAGGAATACCAGTCAATTAAAAAAACTTAGCAAAGGATTCAAACAGATACTTTACCAAAGCAGACATACAGATGGCAAATAAATGCATGAAAAGACGCTCAATGTTATTAACATCAGGTATGTGCAAATTAAAGTCACAATGAAGTACCACGATACACTATTAGAATGACTCAAAAAGACTGTACTAAGTATTAGTGAGGATGTGGAGTCACTGGAACTTTCATGCACCATCACATGATACAACTGCTGTGGAGAACAGTGTGGCAGTTTCTAAAAATATGAAACATAGGACTTAACTATTCTGCTCCTATGAATTGGCCTGGAGAAATCAAAGCATATGTTCATTTTATTGTACATAAATGTTTATAGAAACTTTATTTATAATAGGCCCAACTGGAAACAACCCAAATTTTCATCAACCAGCAAAAGGATAAAGAAATTATGGTATAACCATGCAATGGAGTACTACTCAGCAATTTTTAAAAAGAAATTAACTATTGAAACAAACCAACAACATGTAATTATGCTTAATGAAAAGAAACAGACAAAAAGAGTACATACCGTACGATTCCATTCATAAAAGTTAGGAAATGCAAACGAATCAATACTGACAGAAAGCAGATCAGTGGCTGCCTAGAGACTAGAGTAGCAGGAAGTGGGGTGGGGTGGGAAGGAGAGATTACAGAGGGGGCATGACAATATGTTCATAATTTTGGGAGAAGTGGATGATTTCCCTGGTATGTGCATATATCAAAGTTTATTAAGTTGTACATTTTAAATATGTCCCTTGTATTGTATGTTGATTATATCTCAAAAAATCGGTTTTTAAAAACTTAATAAGACAACTCAATAAATAAATGAGGACAAGATTTGGACACTTCATAAAAGAAGACAAGCAAATAAGATGTTCTACACCATTAATTATCAAAGAAATGCAAATTAAAACTACAACCACTACACACCCACTCAAACTGCTATAATTCTTAAAAAATCCTGACAATACTGAATATGGTTCAGGATGTGGAGAAATGGGACTCTCCTACATTAAGTCAATAGAAACATAAAATGGTTTACATTTGTGAAATCTCAAAATGGCACTTTGGGAAACAGCTTGGTAGTTTTCTTTTAAGTTTAAACATATACTTATCATAGGACCTAGAAATTGCACTCCTAGGTATTTACCCAAGAGAAATGAAAACAGTAGATATACACAAAAACCTTTACAGGAATGTTTTCAGCATCACCCCAAACTGGAAGCATTCCAGCTGTCCTTACACTGGTGAGCAAATAAACAAACTGGCTCATCCACACAATGGACTACTACTCAGCAATACAAAAAAACAAAGTACTAACACATGCAACAACATGAATGAATCTCAAATGAAGGGAAAAAAGCCAAATGCAAAAAGCTACACACTATATGATTTACTTTATATGACATTCCTAAGATAGCAAACTATTAGGAAGCGATCAGAGGAATAGTTGCTAGGGGTGGGGGAGAGGGGGTTGATAGGAAGGGGCATTGTTGTTTTAGATCTTGACAGGTGTTTACACACTGCAAAATTCAGAAAAACACACTAAAAAAGGGTAAAACTTGCTGTATGTAAATTATACTTCAAAATAAACCAGACTTACTTTAACTGTAAATGAATGTAAGTACACACTTTAAAAACATGTGTGAAACACAGGTATAGCAGGTCTGGTGCTGCAAGCAAAATGAACTTTAACTCCAACAAGGTTTTAAGACAAAGAAACAGCTCTCTTTCTTCTCCAGAGCAGAGACCACCAAATGCTGAGAGTCAGGATTCAGAACACTGGGCTTCAAATGCTAGCTCTCATCTTTTTCCTGAGTTCTGCAAAAGATTCTGTGCTCCCTGGTGCCCCACCGAATCTTCTTTTTCTAATGGTGGCAGCTTTTAACCTTAGGCCATTTTCTCATCCGGGCCTTTGGTGAACACCATGATAAAGAATTGAGTGCTTTCAAAGGTGACTTTCCTCCTTTTGAGTCACTTCTTTCCTCAACTGTCAAGATGTTCACAGCAAGGAGGTATATGAGGAATAAAAGACAGGATTTCTGCTGCTAGAGGCGGCATGCCTTGAACAGGCTGCAGAGCTGGGGTGCTGACCGGGGCTCACACAGACTCCCATGGCACGTTTTGCCAGCACAGGTGTGCAGGTCCTCAGATTCTGGACAGGTTCCAATTTGAGTAATTATGTTCTCTCTCCCTAAGTACCCCCTACTGTTTCTGGTGGATACAGAATTCTTATTCACTTCCTGTACTAAACTGTTGTATAGAGTTGCTGTGCAGCTGTTAAACAGCTGCCACGTTCTTCTCCATATATAGTCTCTAAAGCACTTTTGGATGAAAGGCGCTATATAAACATATTTTACTGTCATGTATTGGTTGCCTTTCCACTTAGTAGTAGGTTTTGTAAGCTTCTAACTATCAAATCCAGATCTGTATTCCACAGCACATCAATGTTTAATTCATTTCCCTTCCTGTTCCCCAACCCCCTATAAACAACAAGGCTCTTACCACAAGGGTCCGTAGACAGAGAGTCCCTGCAGGAGCACGGGGGTCCAAAGCAGCTACAAGATCCCACACTTTTATTTTTCTAAAGATAAAAAATGGGATAAAAATCTTAATTAAAAGCAAAATTAAGGGACCACAGGAAGAAAAGCACAAAGTGATAGCAATAAATATGTATGGTGAATGTAATTTACATGACAAATGCAGCTCACAGGAATATATAAAAACTTTTTTGTTTTTGGAGACTTGGTTCTTCCATTCATTCTTGGGTTGAGGTTATTGGTCTTAACAGGGGAAAAAGTGTAAGTTTAACCTAAGAACGAGAAACAAGTTAGCCTTAACCAAGCTGAAGATAGTGAATGGTAAATTTACACCATACGTTGGGGCCAGGAAGAGATCTTATACAATAGATCCCTTAATGATATAACAGATTACTTAGGCCTAGAAACCTCCAATTCTGAGAATGGCCCAGGTCACATGTACCAGAGGAATAGAGGAATGGAGCCCAATGAAGAACTCTGGAGGTTATAAAGCAAATGCTCATATTTTGATTTAAGTAAGAAAAGCTTAGCCCTTCTAAAAATCAAACATATGGTTATGTCTCCTCAAGGTAAGTAACAGACAAAACCCAAGAAAGGTGGGAAGAGATCAAAACCGGGGGATGAGAAAATATAACCTAGCTGGAATGCATCATCACACCTTGTAGACCAGTGATGGCTGACTCAAAGCAGAGGAAGCGGTGGTGTGTTCCTGCAGCTTGAGTTGTCTTATCAGTACAGCCAGCTCATAAACTAAGATAAAGCTGTAAGTCAGCTACTGATATTTAAAAGCTGCCAGTATTTGAACTGTAGCCTTCCACTCCCCCATGTTAGGCACCCTGACAAGAAGAAATGATAAGGAGGCCTTTATAAGTGAATATACTTTTGGTAAGAGTTTACGATATGCTTACCATTGCTGGACATGGTATCCATTCACAACATGAACAGATTCTATAACCATTGCAAATGAGACCAAAGAAAATAAAGATTACTAAACTTGTTGTAACTGAAATGTTAGGAGAAGTGAAGACAAGAGAGCTGCACTTTTAGGAATTACTCAAAGAGATAAAAATTCAAGACCTTATCACACTGTGCCCCAAAGACATTGCCTCCAATATTTCAATTTTAGTAATAAGTCACTATTTTATACACATATCCTGGTATGTATACTGGGATACATACCAGTTTTTCCAGTTCTTTGATTTATAGAGTAAAACAGACAAATGTATCTAACCAAATAACTATTATATTAATAAAAATCATGAGCAAACAAGTAGTTAGATGGCTGGGAAGAACATTTTAGCAAAGTAAACCAAAAAAAAAAAAAAAAGAAGAGAAGTAAAGTAAACAAAAGGGGTGCCTGGGTTGCTCAGTCACTTAAGCATCTGACTCTTGATTTTGGCTCAGGTCATGTCTCATGGTTCATGGGTTTGAGCCCTATACTGGGCTGCGTGTTCACAGTGCAGAGCCTGCTTGGGATCTCTCTCTCTGCTCTTCCTGCTCACTCTCTCAAAATAAATAAATAAACTTTAAAAAAAGAAAAAGAAAAAGTAAACAAAGGAAAGGTGAATACATAGATTAGGCACAAGAAATATTGTATCAGATCATTTCCATGAAATCTATAATCTTTTCGAGTCTAGGAAAGACTATATTTAACATCCTCAGGCAGGAGGGATCAAGATGTACATTTTTTTAAAAACTCCGTTAGCAAACTCACCCATCATAGGCCCCACTGACTATCCTCTTGTTATCAAATCGGATACAGCGCACCAGTTCCTCATGGCCTTCCAACACCCGTAAACATGCACCACATTCTATGTCCCATAATCTGGAAGAGAAAACTGAGTGAACTTTCATGTAGTCTTTTCTAAGCTTTGGACGTTATAATAATACACTTTGTAGGTCTTCAAAAAATTCACAAAAATGCAATCAATCAACACTCATACAAAAATATATTGTTTTCAGTGTAATTTCTTTCCTTTCTACTGTGTAACTCCGGCAGAAGAATGTATGATTTAAGTTCAAATGAAGTATATATTTTCAAAGCACAATGCTTTATAGAATTCTGTAACCAGCATCCTCAAGCATAAAAAAGATGAATTCAATGTCCCCAGTTGTCTGTGAAGGACATGACCAAGCCAAGAAAAGTAATGCTTCCTGAAATCACTATTAAGAATGAGATACAGGGTATCAGTGATATCCTGCCGTCACAAAGCATGTCCACGTCTGTTGGTAAGCACACTCTTGGCTTTTACCCTCGGGCCAGGACAGTCTTTCTCATATAATGGGAACAAAAAGCAAGTTCTCAAAAACTTTTATTATTAATTTAAAAAGTTGTCTTAATTCAGACCAATGCAAATGAAAGGACAATTTCTTTAGATGTGACAATAGTTCTATCTGTTGTTTTTTTAATGGCCTTTTCATCTCCTTAGTACCTTTTGAAGGCAGGGAGAGGACTGATAAATTTTCCAAATTCTATTCATATCTGTGTCATTCAGCTTTGTGAAGGGAAAACACCAAAAAAGTAGTTTAGTCTGTGGATTCTTCATAATTTCAAAGACTGGCAACTCCCTGGATAATTATGTAATGCTAAGAAAACTAAATGTACAATTTCAAGTAGGGAAAAAAATTTTTTTTTCTTTTTATTTTTTTGTTAACACTGGTGGAGAAAAGGCCTTTGGCTATTTGACTTTTCACCTGTACACAGGAAGAACTTAACGAGGAGGGCCTTCAACCTCCATCTACTTATCACTCTTGTCCACTTCCTCATTCAAGCAGTGCCTTTAAAACAAGTATATCTGGGAATAAAACTATTATAGGAAGGAAACACATCAATAAAAGGCTTTGCTATGCTATGTTTCTGTTTGTGATGAATTTTTTTTTTCTTTTTTTGGTCAAACTTTTGGCCTATAAGAAGCTACAGAAAGGAAGAACATTTGGGGCACCTGGCTGGCTCAGTTGGTAGAGCATGTGACTCTTGATCTCTGGGCTGTGAGTTCAAGTCCCACATCAGGGGTAGAGATTACTTAAAAATAAAAATCTTTTTTAAAAAAGTTTATTTATTTATTTTGAGAGAGAAAGCAAGTGGGGAAGGGGCAGAGAAAGAGAATCCCAAGCAGGTTCCACACTACCACAGTGCAGAGCCCAATGCGGTGCTCAAACTCATGAACCACAAGATTAAGATGTGAGCTGAAGTCAGATGCTTAACCGATGGAGTCACCCAAGCACCCCTAAAAATAAAAATCTTAAAAAAAGAAAACAAGAAAGGAAAAACATTTTATTATAAACATAACACACTGGAAGATTTGTTGGATCTGTGTGCAAACGGTGAGTGGCAGTGTACTACTGCTCCCTTCTGGGTGACAGCACCTGCTGCTCACCTGATAGTGTTGTCAGACGAGCCACTCACGACCAGCCTATCTCTGTACTGCAAACAGGCAATGCCACGTTTGTGTCCATTTAAGGTCCTTACAAATTCACAAGTACTTGTGTTCCATACCTGAAACAGAAATAGCATTTGGCAGTTGATTTGGTGCTTTTACTAGTAAAAGCACTATGGCAACTGGAGTCTTGGGGAAGCAGAAAATAGTACCGAGCCAATAGGGGGAAGTCAACTTCTCAAACCAAACCAAATCAAAAAAAGAAAAAAAAAAAAAAGGACAAGTTTAATTCTTAATAATATAGGGCTAAATTGTAGCTGGCTGCTATCACATGAAAATTCCTTGGATTGATTTATTCTTATGGAGTTATTAGTCTGGTCTTACAGACAAATTTTCTAGAAACTAAATTAACCCCTGGCCTTCTCACACTCACCATTATTTACAGGAATAAGATAACTGACCAAAATTTTCACACAGCTTGTCTCATTCATTGCCTTTTTACAAACAGACTAGTATCTGAATTAAACTACTTCATATGGCCGTTTAAATATGAAACTTCCCTCGATTGGATTTTCATATGAACACCCTTACTCTAAGTTGGAGACTTATCAAAAAATGCCTCATTACTTTTATAGTCCTATCTCCAGATGCAGAAACGATGTACTTGTCATCAAAGTCTACAACGTTGACAGCAGCTCTATGTCCGACTAGCACCCTCCGGAGGGTGATGTCAGTTGGGGAGGCCATATCCCATACAGCAATGGAACGGTCTTTGGAACAGGTCACCATCATGCCATTATTGAAACGCAAGTGCAAAACGGCTTCACAATGGTGAATCAACGTGTTCAGCATTTCACCTGTATTTACATCCCATACCCTGGAACAAACAACATTGAGAAGGTTATCTGAGGTTTTGATGAGACTCCTGGCTATGATCTATTTGACTGCTACATTCCCCACTCACCCTGCCCCATTTTCATAATTAGGGTTATACTCTACTCTCTTGCAGCTTTGGGACTGAGCTGGGGTGAAGAGTTCTGATGGACCACAGGGAAGTGATAGATAGAGGGCTGGACTGGAAGAGGACAAGGAGAGGGACAGGGTGCAGCCAGTGTGGAACCCTGGAGACACACTATTTGAAATATGACTGAGTTATGGGGGAGAAGGGGAAGAATGAGGACACAACCGCTATCACCTACTAATTGGGCCAGACTTTAAGATTATTACAAAACTTCTGACATTCAATCTGATGCCTTTAACGCGATACATTTTATTTATTTTTTAAATGTTTATTTTTGAAAGAGAGAGAGGGAGCGAGAGAGTATGCATGAGCATGGCAGAGGCAGAGACAGAAAGGGAGACAGAGGATCTGAAGCGGGCCCTGCGCTGACAGCAGAGAGCCTGATGCAGGGCTTCAACTCAGGAACTGTGAGATCATGACCTGAGCCGAAGTTAGACGCCTAACCGCTTAACTGACTGAGACACCCAGGCACCCCTAATGAGATACATTTTAAAGTAGGAATCTGATTAATGACAGTAGCATTAGTGTCCCACAGATAGCCCTCAGAAAATAGAACTGATACAGGCCAAGAAGCTTCTGTAACAGACTGACTTAGTAATGTGGATTTGAGCTTGATAACCCTGGATCTTCAATTTTACCCTAAAGGCCAGGACCAAGATGACTTATACTCTAAGTTCAAAGCATCATTTCTGTGCCTTAAATGGGGGTAGAGATTAAGAAGAGCCATCCCAGGGGCTCCTGGGTGACTCAGTTGGTTAAGCGTCTGACTCTTGATTTCAGCTCAGGTCATGATCTCCAGGTTTTTATGCTCATAGCACAGAAGCCTGCTTGGCATTCTCTCTCCTCTCTTTCTGCCCCTCTCCCTGCTCGCTCATGCCTGTGCTCGCTCGCTCTCTAACAAAATAAACATTAAAGAAAATAAGGGCAAAAAAATAGCTGTAGTGTAAATGGGGGCTTACAGCAGAGTGTGGGACCTTTGGATAGGTTGAGAATTTTGTGTGAGGATATATTTTGATTACTTTATTTTTGTGTATTTACTTTGATTTTCATAACACATTTTATTTCCTTTTCCAATTTAACCCCGTCTTTTAGAAAATCATTTTGTCCCTTATCCTATAAATGATGTTAGCCTCTACAATGTTTAGCTTCCTCGAGGCACTCCACAGCATCAATAAATGTTAAATGTCGATAACTATAAGAACTGAGCTTGCTATGCCTTTAAGTCAGAAGACAAGAAAGAGGAACAGTCTTTTCTATTCACAGAGGATAATTTGGAATGGTAAACATTTAACTTCAGAGAATCTAACAATGCAGTTAACTGCTTTTTTCCTATTTTTTTTAAAAAGTTACTTCTGATGCATTATGTTTGCTAAATCCTTTAGCTTAAGGCAAAATTCCTAACTGAGGTTTCCAGCAGTGCTGCTGGTCCCCAGCACTCAAGCTACACTGGACTCCAGCAGCATAATGGCTGTGTCATCAAATCACTAACGCCTCTGGAAATTGAAGGCCCCTCCCTGAGTAAAGCTTGCAATTAAAAACTGCAGGGACAGCAGGGGAGGGGCTGGCAAAGAGCGAGCATTGCTCACCTGTACACATTTTAAAGGAGATAATGCATGTCTGTACCACAGTTATAACCACCTGAAAGGAGGCTTAATTCCATTCCCATCATTCTCCTGTGAGGCAGTTTTTGTAAGGCATGCACAAGGTTTACCGAGTTTCTACAATTGATGACTCTCCCAAATTAAAACAGCGTATGTAGTTTCTTCAATGTGCAAAAATGTAAACTTGCCTGAGTCATTCCTAAATCAAGTTTTCTACTTCTATGTGGACACATGATGTGGAGAGCTGATGGTTTATTCTTTAGTTATGAAGTTTCAGAACTGTGTTCATGCAGCTACTTACAACGAAATTACTATCTATGACAAAGCACAGAGCGGATTGCTATTCCAGAGTTCAAAAGATCATGTGAAATCTTCTACCTGACTGTGGAATCCGATGACCCAGTTATGATCACCCTCTCATCATACTGGAGACACAGGACTGAACCCGTATGGCCGGTGAGAATTCGCTTGCATTCCAGCGTGCTTTTATCCCAGATCTAGGATGGCAAACAAGATCCTTTTGATCACTGTGATGATGGGGTGCTGCCGAGACTTGTTAGCTCTATTAGGTGTTTGATTCCTCTAAAGAATCAAAGCCCAGAGTAATGTGGAACGCATTCTTTTCTATAGGTATAGCTAAGCACCTATATATATGTGGCTTCAATACTAATGCAGACTTTATCCTTTTCATTAAGGAACAGGGGTAACCTATAATTATGTGAAGCCCGAGTAATAGCACATTCAGTGCACTTTAAGGAGAGAATTTAACCCCAGGACGATCCATTTGTATATGCTTCTGGCGGAAAGCAAGTAACTATCCTTTAAGGAAATGATTCTGGCTTCAGGACTGGAAACAACCTAAAACTCTTATTTACCTTCTGGAAATAATGCTTAGAGATGATGCTTGGACTGCTTTATTAATGTGGACACCCTTGATCCTTCAGCCATCTCCCCATAATTGAACAGACCTCACCTTGATTGTGTTGTCTCGAAGGCCGCTTACTATCTTCTGATCATCATACTGTAAACAGTAAACTCCTTTGCTTGTTTCACTTCGGCAGTGGATTCTCTGTAAACTGTGTCTTCCACATCTCCAATTAGATTCTATTGTCTGAGGAGAAGGAAGAGTAAAAAGGTAGTAATTAGGAAAGGACTAGCACTGAATTTTTATCTTTCATGGCAACCAATGACAAATGCTCAGTGCTTCACTCTATTAAATACATAGACCTTAAGGCAAACTCAAAATATGTTTTTAAAAAACCACTGTTTAAAATTGCATAACATTTTTTCATTTGTAAAGTTATTAAAGATTTATTTTCTAGAACTCTCCTGCACATAACTCATTCAATTAAATGATAAACCTGGTGGCAAAGGGGCAACAGAGGGCAAGCTGTGCATTCCCTGAGGCTACATGCTCAGTGCTCCTCACACCTATGTGGTGGCCATTTCTACCAGTGAACTTCCAGGGAGGCTCAATTCATTAAGTTATTTGAGTATCAGATTGTAAGTGCAACTTTAACAGTCTCAGTGCTATTGCATGACGATATCATTCTCTCTCTCATCTATTTATCCATCAGTAAACAATCTTTAAAAATTTTGCCTGGCAATTTACCATATTTTGCCTACCCTATTTACTTAAAGGAAATTGATTTTTTTTTTTTTTAAATATTTTTTTACTTATTTCTAGAAGAGAGAGGGACAGTGTGAGCAGGGGAGGGTCAGAGAGAGAGGGAGACACAGACTCTGAAATAGGCTCCAGGCTCTGAGCTGGCAGTCAGCACAGAGCCCGACGCGGGACTCGAACCCACGAACCGCGAGATCATGACCTAAGCGAAAGTCAGACACTTAACCGACTAAGCCACCCAGGCGCCCCAAAAGAGATTGATTTTTAACCCACATTAATAAACCTTAATGGGTTAGCTGTAACAATTCTGTTACTGAAGAATGCTGATGATTCTCTAGTATTTGGCATATATCCAAATATAAATAGATTCTTACCTCAATGTCCTGTATAATTTTAGGATAAAGTGCTCTATAAAAGGAGTTGGGAGGAGCATTCCCATCAGGAGGTTTGTTTTTGAATAAATACTGTCCCCTAAAAAACAATAAACATTTTCAATACAAATCACAATATCATACATGTATAAGGAGCTTCCTATTTTTTTTAAAGTGTTGTCACAATTTCCATTCCATATAATCTCCATAACTAGTCTAGAAAAGTGTGAAGTTAAGCTCGATTTCAGGAGTCCCATTTCAGGGAATAACTTCCTGGGTTCTAAGGAACTCCGTCAACACTGATTATACACGTGATGACTTGCAGTGTAGCCATCAGAATATCAGGCCTTCAGGAATATTATAATGTCATCAAAGGGAATACACATAATCGGAATTTATCAACTGGTCTATCAGACCTCTGTACAGGCGGATTCATCGGGCTTTTGCAAATTTTGTTAGTGATGATAACTACTAACTCTGAACTCAGCACGTGCCCCACAGTTTTTTGCCCCCCACTAAGTAAAGCTGTGCCAGTATCGGTGGAGTCTAGTATCAGGGGCAGTAGGAATGCCTCTGTCACGGAGCTCAATTTTCCTAGTCTTCATTTATGTGGGGTAAGGTGTGTTGGCAGCGCAGACACCCAGGCTACTGGTGATCAGTGTAGCTATGCTTTCAAAAGGAGCAATTCAATTCATTTTGACAGAGAAGAAAGGAAATACAGGAGTGTCCAGCGGCAGGTATGGAAGAAGATGAAAAGAAATGCCTAAGAGCACTGTGCTGTCAAGTCTAAGGCATGACATTATTTCACAGGTGTGTTCCTGGCTATGTACATACACATATGCATTTTACTGCCTTCCCTTGACTCCAGTGAGCAACATTTGTTAGCATCTCCTTCCTTATGACAGCACATCTCTGGAATACTCATATCCCAAGCTAGATCTTTGCTACAAAAAAAAATCAGTAAATGGCAATCACTTCCTGCTGGGTAAAAAATTTAATTCCTCATCCTGAAGTTAAGAACCCACCAAACACGGTGTGGAAGCTAGTAAACCCCACTATGGGTGTACTAACTGCTGTTCTCACTGGCACCGTGCCTTGCAAAGTGGAGACAGGCAGAAATGCCTCAGAGTGTAATCCTGGCACCAGAGAAATCATGTTTTCTCTGGGCCAGTCATCCACTCCTCCCTCTATAGCTCCATTACAATATAATTAATTGTTCAGTGTCTCCAGGAGCGCTTCTCCTCTGCCCTCTTCCTACTATACACCTTGAGAAAATTTCTTATCAGGAAGGTAGCTGGCTTTACTTCCGTGTTAACAGAGGAAGGCAAATCTACAATGGAGAAGCTAAAATAATAGCTTTTAAAAGGGGGCTAATAGGAGCAAGAAAGATGATACATCAACATAAAGAGTGAACAAGATACATTATGAAATAATTCTGGGTTACAAGCACACTTCTCTGAACAATCTTATTCTGCAAACACACTGTAAACAAACAACAGATTTTGGGTGAAGAGATTCCAAATCTGGTTAATAATTATAACTCAATAATTTCAATTCCAACACCCTTTCATGAGGTCATAATCACTGCTTTCATTTTGCAAACAAAGAAATCAAATGTCAGGGAGGTTAGGTAACATGCTTAAGGTCACCTAGCTAGTGAGTAGACCTGGAATTTGAATCTAAGTCTGGTTTCAGAGCCTGCCCTCTACTACTTTATTATCTCCCAGTGCCCACCATTCCTCAGAGATTCTTGCCCTCCTTTTAAATCTCTGGCAATTGAATAGAGGCACCCCAGGATTTTCTTCATATGTAATAAAACTATCCCTACATTCTAAGAGAAGAGAAACCATATAAGCCTCTGATCTCATTTTTTACCTCAATGTATTTTTCATGCCTTGCTAAAGTGTCTGAATTTCTTCAAATTAAAGGTGGTACAAAAAAGGGTGGTGAGGTGCTGAAAACTGGGTTTTCAGTCTATATCTGTGTTATAAGTCAAAACCTTTTATGATGGAAGCTCTCTGACAACAGGGACCACTTCTACGTGAAATGCCTAGTGCCTCTGAGAATGTAAGTACATGATAAATGCTAAATATTAAATTTAGAATGTTACCATAAAATGTGATCTGCTGATTAAGAAAATGGACTTTCCCAAGTGGTCGTTTATTATACTTTTAAGAGTTACCATTACTGAGCACAGAGAGCACACTCAATAGTATTCAAGATAGAAAGCGACAGATAGGGGCAGACTGTCAAATTCATCTAGATACAAAATACAACAGTGGAGTGGAAGCTAAACCCAAAGTTTCATCAGAAAACTATATTTACTTATTTATTTTTGGTTAGGGGAAATGGAAGAAACTCTCAAAGGCAGGATTTGGGGAAAGGTATGAAAGGAAAACTGACGCAGTAGGCTTGGAAAGACAATCTGAGAGAAGATGAGAAAGTGATCATAGATTAAATTTTTAAAAAGTAGGGGAGAACACTAACACAAGAAGAAAGGCAAATTTAAAAAATACAAGCAGCCAGGGGCGCCTGGGTAGCTCAGTCGGTTAGGCATCCAACTTCAGCTCAGGTCATGATCTTGCAGTCTGAGTTCAAGCCCTGTGTTGGGCTCTGTGCTGACAGCTCAGAGCCCGGAGCCTGCTTCAGATTCTGTGTCCCCCTCTTTCTCTGCCCTTCTCCCACTCCCACTCTGTCTCTCTCTGTCTCTCAAGCAAAACAAAACAAAACAAAAAACAAAAACAAACAAGCAGAGAAAGTCAAGAGGGATATTAGAGGAGGTCTCCATGGGGTGGACAAATACTTGGAATATGGTCTGAACTATGAATGATGCTCAAAAGAACAGGAATTAGGAAAAGAGTGATAATTAATACTGGATCCTAGATTATCTCTCAGCCATACCTTCATATACCCCTTTTAAAAGGCAAAAGGCCACCTTTTCAATGATCTTGTTTGGTTTTTTCCTTTGTAACTAACATAACAGATCTTCCTATTTATTGCCAACTCCAAGTAAAATTGTGGAGGCTACCTTGTCTTTGGCATTTTCAAACATGCGTCTGCCCAAATCTGCTCATCTGTTTCTTATTCTTCCTGCCTTCAAAAAAAAAAAAAAAGAAAAGAAAAGAAAAGAAAAGAGTTTGTAGGGGGCACCTGGGTGGCTTGGCTGGTTAAGCATCTGACTCCTGATTTCAGCTCAGCTCAGCTCATGATCTCACAATTCCTGAGATGGAGCCCTTCATCAGGCTCTAACAGCAGGGGATTCTCTCTCTCTGCCCCTCCTCCACGCACACACATGCACGTGTTCTCTCAAAAGAAATAAACTTAAAACAAAAAGTAAAAAAAAAAAGTATGTGTAAACTACCAATGTCTGATAAAGGCTTACTGTTATTTACATTTCAAATGGGAACAAAGTATATTTTAATAGGGAAGAAACCCTTTATTGCTATCGGAGTGAATCTCTGTCATAGAGATTTTAGGTCATGAGTTCTGATTTGGAGGAGAGTTTGGGCTTTTTTTTTAAATGTCATTTTTTTAAAGATTTTATTATTTTTATTATTTTTTTAAGTTTATTTTTTGAGAGAGAGTGTGAGTGGGGGAGGGGCGGGGGTGGGGGGAGACAGAGGACCTGAAACAGGCTCTATACTGGGAGCAGAGAGCCTGATGTAGGGCTTAGACTAATGAACCATGAGATCATGAACCACGAAGTCGGATGCTTAACTGACTGAAACACCCAGGCACCCTAAATAACATTCTTGTAACTTTTATTGTTTTTTAATGTTTTATTTATTTTTTGAGAATGAGAGACAGAGTGCAAATGGGGGAGAGATAAGGAGACACAGAATATGAAGCAGGCTCCAGGCTCCAAGTTTCAGCACAGAGCCCAATGCTGGGCCTGAATTCATGAACCATGAGATCATGACCTGAGCTGAAAGTTGGCTGCTTAACCAAATGAGCCACCCATGTGCCCCTAAATGACATTGTTTTTAGACTTTATTTATTTTTTGGGGGGGGGGAGAGTCAGAGCGAGAGAAAGAGCGAGAGAGAGACAGCGAGAGAGAGAGACAGACAGACAATAAGTGGGGGAGGAGGAGACGGAGGGAAAGAATCCTAAGCAGGTTCCATGGTGTCAGTGCAGAGCCCAATTCGGGGTTCAGTCTCACGCACTGTGAGATCATGACTGGAGCCGAATCAAGAGATGGGTGCTTAACCAACTGAGCTACCCAGGTGCCCCTAAGGATAATTTTTCTTTTCTCTTCTTTTTTCTCTGTGAGGAGTAGTGGAATATTCCTAGCTGCCCTAAAATTCTCCCACATAAGCAACTGCTCTTTATCTAAGGCTGGTCCTGGCATGCTTATTAGCAAAATGATGGACTTTGGATCCCAGACAAATATATACATATATTTTGCTTTTTAATAAAGAGTTTATTTCCAAAGTATGAAATAAATTATGAAAGGTTTTTATTTTTCTATACAGTGAAACAAATCAGAATAAGAAAAACATATTTGGGAAGAATAACACTATGCTTTTATATATTCACTTCTATATAGTTGAAGAATTGCCTGGCATTTGCTTCCTTTAAATTTGAATTTGAGGGAAATTTTAAAGTCTTCCTAATAGCCAAAATGGCAGAAATTTCTTGAAGCATTTGGTAGAATATTTAGGGGTCATTACATTTATTATATACCAATGAATTTCAAAGATGCAAAAAAAAAAAAATGGAAAGGAAAGGAGCTAACTATATTTTAATGAAAACTGCCAAGAAAAGCTGATCCTCTTAACAGTTTTGTATCTCTTTACGGTCCAAGATAAATAATTGATAAAATTAATTGCTCAGGATATCCCTGAGCACACATATGTCTGCTGGTACATGTCTATCTGCTAAAATATTGAATATGTCCCTTTTATGTTACTTATGAAATTATTCACACCTGACTTTCTTTCAGTGACAGTCTAGAGACATCCTTTGAAAGTACAAATAGACAGCATCTTCCAGAAGCTCTAATGAAATGGTACCTTTATGTTAAAAGAACAACAAAATTGGTGACGTCTCTCAGGCTGCTAACTATATAATGCCTTAAGGAATTTGGGATTAAGCAGTAAAATCTTAAGAAAATAAGAGTCTTATGAGGAAACAGTGATATATACTAGATTACACACTTCACTCTTTCTGATGCCTACCTAGAATTCTTATTCTAGTTGAGTGTTAAAAATAATTTTGATTACAAAGGTGATAAAACACCACAGGCATGGATTAAAGACAAGAAATCTTTTGAAGGACAACATACTTATTTGTTCGGGATTGTTTCAGGCATCTGATTTCTATGTAATCTACTTTTTTTTTTTTATGTTTTATTTATTTCTGAGAGAGAGACAGCGTGAGCAGGGGAGGGTCAGAGAGAGAGGGAGACAAAGAATCTGAAACAGGCTCAGGCTCTGAGCTAGCTGTGAAAACAGAGCCCGACGTGGGGCTTGAACCCACGAACCATGAGGTCATGGCCTGAGCCGAAGTCAGATGCTTAACCGACTGGTCCACCCAGGTGCACCAGATTTCTGTGTGATCTAAAGTCATCTGTCGTACAAACTGCCTATCAGCCCTTTTTCAGGACACTACATTCTGCCCAGAGAATAGAATGCTCTAAGCGAAGTCAGTTTTTAATCATTTTTTTGCAAAGTAGTAGTAACACACTATGTCATTTATGAATGATTGGTCAGAAGAAAAACTGTTGAGTATATATATAACTATTTTACATTTTATGCTATAAACCAGCAAAATCATTATATTAAATGAGAAGCAGTCTCACTGGTTCCCAATGTTATTCCAATGACTCTGAATGGCCATGTCTTGAAGCTTCATAATTGCAAGAAAGTTAAAAGGCTCACCACCCTCTTCGTTCTGCCAGGCCTCTCCACAGAGAATCAGTCCTGACCATTCTCTCAATGAGCTTCTTCCATAACATGCCATCAGAGGTCACTCGGTACCATTCCTTACATACGAGTTCAGCAGCACATAGCGATTTGGCATCCAGGTATGACAGAATGTTCTCGGCAATGTGGTCCAAACCCCGAGCTGTTGTGGGTTGGGGAGGGGGCAAAGAAGAGAAATATAGGTGGTGAATGGTGGGGTTTTTTTGTTTTTTGTTTTTTTACAAAAGGTCCTTTAAAAAACAACAGCATTTATTCTTTTCTGAAAGCATATCACTGTCCCTAGTGTGGTCCAGTTTCTTTTTCAAACAGAAACTTGGGTAAAATGAGTGTCAATAATTTTTCCATAAGGTTACAGAAATGAACAGTATTTTCCATCTTCCTTTAGATAAGGAAGTTAGCGCTAACAACTAGCAAACCCCCCAAGACATTAAAAATAAAAAGGATCCTAGAAAACAATTCACATCTATCTATATGGATTTCAGCACTAGGGGATGTTCTATGGATGGCATCTCAAAGTCTGTGATTCAGACCCCCCCAAATCTCTATATTAGGTCCATTTCTCATTCCGTTTCTATTACTGCTGCAGTTCCAAAGCTGTTCAGTGAAAGAAATATCCTTTAAATGTACTAGGGGAGAGGCACTAAGTCAGAATGTGCTGGGTTATAGAATTTTGGGCATGCAGAAAGGAGAGAAGAAGGAAATACAGATTGGCATAGGAACATCCCAAGAGGAAACACAGAGAGGTATGTTTAAGTTCAAGTATGAGTTTAATTTCAAATGTTAAAAGAAACTGTATTTGAGAGTAGTTGCTGCTATAAATCCTAAATGACAGTTGACCAAAAAATGAAAACAATCCCACACCAATAAATAACTTGGTTAGAATTTCAGAGAACATTTTGCAGGATGTATAGAGGGAAACAATGGAAGTAGATCTTGGGCTGCCTAAACTGGATGGGTTTCCCAATTAAAATACTCTACCACCCAAATCTGTACTGAGGCCTCAGAGGAATAGATCCGATAAAATAGGATGACCATACTAATAAAGTTTTTGGCTACTGTTCTAATTCACAAGTGAGACAAGCATATTCAAAGTTATTTCTCTTTCAGATTACATATCAGAGGTTTGCTAAAGACTTAAATAGTGCAGAAGGATTCCTTCATACTCTGACTCCCTTAGGCACAAACTTACCCAAAAGGAAAGAGAATACCACATTTCATTTTGTGCCTTTCCCCTGAATCACACAAAGACATACTTGGACACCATTAGCAACAACCCAAATGTGCTTAAACATTATTCTAATTATAAAACTGTATGGATATCAGTCACATTTTTCAGCAGATTCAGAGAAGAAAGCATTAAATGGATTTTGTTTGGCTGGTATCACATGTTCATATTTAAGCATAAGCAGATGGAGGCATTCATCACTTAATTCTTATTAAAGGAAAATGACTATAATCCAATTCAAGATATAATAATTAGTTCCTCATGCAAAAAACAGTGATGATACAGTTCCTGCACCTTTAAATTGAAACTTTCTATGCCATCAGAAGTTTCCAAAATTCATTCCTGTTGTTTTTAATGGCTGTCATGAAATTGTTCCTGATCTTTCACTATGCCCCTATAGTAAGTCTTTGGAAGTAATTTCACCTAACAGTCTAAACAAACCCATTACATTAATGGATTATAGGCATTTTTTGAAGTAGTTTGGTTTACTAAATGTAGCCAGGTGGTGTAGGTTTATAAGTTAAAATGGCCATAAAGCATTAGCCTGATGATTTAATATCTTATAAAGTGGTCAGCAGATACACACCAGGGATCAGGATTAGGCAAAGGATACACTGATCTAATCAACTCCTGCTCAATTCTTAGTGGTATATGCTTGAGACAGTAGCATGTCCCAGTAACTGGGGAGAGCGCAGTAATGAGGTACACATAGATTGTTCACACAATGAAAACTGTTTGCCTGTGGCTAAAACAAAGTCCAATGAGGGAAGAGGGGGCAGAAGTCTATTACACTTAACAAAAAATATAGGTACAAATTTAGCTTTAAAGTGGTTTTTTCTAAGATATAAATAGGTATTTCTTTTGTTTTAAAGGGTGACTTAAATTCCAATTTTGGAGAAATAAACAAACGAAAAAGATAATTGGCAAAGATTAAGCAAAGTAGTAGTATGCCGTTTGGGGGAGGGTTGGTATATTTTTCAAAGAGGACAGTTTTGTACAAGGGTTAAAAGCCTTAAAAATATTCATAATTCTTCAATATAGGAGTCCTGTTTCTGTTATTTTTCCCCAGGAAAAGATTAGTGAATAAGAATGTCCACCACCACAAAGTTCATAATAGGAAAAACATTTTAAACTACCTAAATGTCCACAAAAGGGGTTAAATAATATGTGCTTTGGCCATCATAAAGAATATATAATACTATAAATAACTATGTTTTTTAAAAAACACAGGAAAATACATTAAGAACATAGTAGGAAAAAAATGTTACATATGCTTTAGAAGGAAATATACACACCTAGGAAAAAAACCTGTAAGGCTACATGCCAACATATTAATAGGTATTAGCAGCTCTCTGAATGGTAGGGTTCTGGGAAATTTTATTTTTATATTTTAAATGGTTTTGAATTTTCTAAATTTCCTATAGCTTCTATAATCAGGAAACAATTGAAAAAAATAAAAACAAGATATAATATTTTAGAGATTCACTCATCTTTTGTACTATATTTTCTTTTAAAATAAACGTTTAACACAGAGGACAACCTTATATCTTCTTGAGGTAGCATTTCCCCCAAATAATGATGTCTACATAGTACCCTGGGATCACCACCAAGCATTTGGTAAAACCACCACATCATCCTCCACAAAAAATGTATTTTAAGTGTGTGAGCGTATGTGTGTGTGTATTCAAACCTATATTGAGCTTACGATAGATGTTCGATTACTGAGAACAGTGAGGTTGCAAAGCCTGGAGTTTACAAATTAATGTCACAAGGCTCCTGAGATACCTTTCTTTATAAAATACTCAATTAAAAATGTTTCTTATTCAGTCCCATAATCTAAATATTCTGTTGGCCAATTCCCATGGAAAACCAAATCCAAGTACATAGGTTAACATATCTTGAAACTGAGACACATTATCAAGGTAGCAGCTCAGAAAAAATTTTATTTGCACCTCTGAGTGGGTAAGAACAGAGTGACTAAAGGGTAGGAGATACAGAGAAGACCGGGGAAAGAAGAGTCTCTATTTCCAGAGTTCGACATTGGGTATTTATACCCCAAGAAGGTAACATTAAAGGACTCCGTTTGTAAAATTCAAGCCAATAAAGACTTAAAAAGAGAGATGACGATCCAGTTTCATTACCATTGTCACTTATCTTCCAGGCAAATTAATGGCTCACAAACACCCGTAGACATACCTGGCAGAGCAGTTATGAAATCCCTCTGCAGCATAGGTTTAAGGTATGAGTTTATGTGTCCATGTTGGTAATGACACATTTGGGATATAAGATGTTCCACAAATTCCACTTGATCGGACTCTGACCACTGCTCAAAGTATTTGACACACAGCTCCTTTTCCTTCTCATAGCTTGCTGAGAGTTTTCGTTGCTTGGGCACAATCATACTGGAAGTGCCATTGGCAAGTTTTGTCTGTAGAAGGGGTGGATTAAAAGACACATGAAACAGTAAGTACTGAAAATGAGGGAAATATATAATTTTTTGGTCTGGCATGCAATGTTATGTCTTTATGATGGAGCTCACTCTGTTACTCTATGAGTAATTGGATGGTTCTGAACAGCAATTATACAGAAAGCCACACAAAGACCACAGTAAGTTGCTGGATGACTAGGCATCCATGTCTAAAAGTTCACAGGAAGAACAGGAAGAAAAATTATTTGGAGATATATAGATGAGAACTGAAAGCTGAAAGCATGTTAAGTTATTATTACTAGCAAGCAAAAAAGCTCGTTTGCTTTTTTTTGTATACACCAGTTACTAGACGTTTATATAATTACTTCCTCACAACTTATTTTTTACTAATCAAATAAGAAACCTTCCAAGCAAAGAAAGGCCAATGAATAAAATAATCTGAAACTCTAGTACCTTTGGAGATAAAGTTTAAATATAACATGTATATATTCAACCTACCCTTTCCCTTCTAAAAAGGAAATCAAACTTACATGCCATTAAGTCTTTCTGTTAATTAGTTCATTACGGAAATATCAACTGAGCACACACACAAACACTGTCCTAGGAATACAACACTGGGAATACAACACTGAACCAAAATAACAGTGTCTGTCCTCAGGAACTTATATTGTAGTATGTACAAGCAAGATAAAAGCATAATCAAGTACATAGAAAATATAATGTGCACAGTGCTATTAATAAAAATAAGGGGATATGGGGCGCCTAGGTGGCTCAGCTGGTTGAGTGTCCGACTCTTGATTTCAGTTCAGGTCATGACCCCAGGGTTGTGGAATTGAGCTCTACACTGGGTTCCATGCTGAGTGTGTAGCCTGCTTAAGATTCTCTCTCTCTCTCTCTCTCTCTCTCTCTCTCTCTCTCTCCCCACCCCCTCCCCACTCTCTCTCTCTCTAAAATAAAAGATTAAAAACTTAAAATAAAAAAAAAATTAAAATAAGGGGACAGAAACCCAAAGTATATGTTATTGCAGTAGGCAAAATTCTAAGATGGCTCCACCCAAGATTCTCGGCCCTTGAAGTATATCTTCTCTTAGCTATTCAAACAAACACATAGGCACTGTTTTGATTTAATTAAGGTGCCAAATCGGCTGACCTTAAGATAGGGAGATTACTAGAATGGGTACCTATCAAATGAGCCCTTTAAAAGTAGAGAGTTTTCTCCAACTGGTTACTAAAGAAGGGGACCACATGGCAAAGGATGTGGTCAGCCTCTGGGAGCCGGGAGAGTTCCCAGATGGCAGCCAGTGAGGAAACAGGTACCTCAGTACTACAAAGGTGGGGGTCTAAGTTCTGCCAACAACAATAAGCTGAGCAGAGGATTTTCCCCTAGAGCCTTCAGATGAGAACTCAGCCTGCTCAGCACCTTCATTTCAGCCTTGTGATACTTTTGAACAGAGGACCCAGCTATGCTATGCCAGACTTCTGACCTAGAAAACTGTAAGCTAATGAATGGGTGTTATTTTATCCTGGTAGTTTGTTACGCAGCAATTAAAAAAACACAGAAAACTAATATAATTACTTAAGCCTATGGGGTCAGAGATAGTCTCCCTAAAGAGATGACATCTGAATTGAGACCTGAAGGAAATGAGGAAACTAGACATTTTGTTACATGGGGGAAGAATGGTCTAAGGCAAAGGGAATTTGAGGGCAAAGGTCCTGGGTGGCAGTCTGTCTGGCATGTTTAAGGAACACCAAAGAGGCCCAGTGTGGTTTGAACCAAGTGAACAAGGAGAAGTAAATTGGAGTAGTTCAAGCCAGATCATCTGGGTCATTTAGGTGGGGGCAGCTAATCTCCAATGACGGCCTGAAACAATTCCATCCCTCCCTGAACACTGAATGCTGTTCCTTCTGTCAAAAGGCAAAGTTTGTCCTAGACTTTGAATCTGGGCTTTGGCAAACAAAGTGTAGAGAAAGTGACATTCAGCTTATGCTTACTTCTTCTTAGAGCCTTGAGCCACCCCATAAGAAATTCAGGCTACCTCGCTGGAGAGAGGTCAGGAAGATGAGAAGCTTTGCAGAGAGAGAGAGAGAGAGAGAGAGAGAGAGAGAGAAAGAGAAATATCACATAGAGAAGCACCTAAAAGTCTGAGAGTGACATCATCTGACTCCTTTTAAATGGAGCAAGTTATGTGAAGAACAGACTGTAGGGGACATGAATGGAAACGAGGAGACTGATTAAAAGACTGCTTCACAGTAGTCCATAGAAGAGAACAATCTTTTGGACTAGAGTGGTAGCTGCAGAGGTAATGAGAAATAATTGGGACTCAGTGTATACTTTGAAGGCAGAGCAAACTGAATTTGTTGACAGACTGGACATGGGGTATGAAAAAAGAAAGGAGACAAGGATCATATGTGAGTTTGAAGCTGGGACACTAGGAGAAGATTCAGAAATCAACTGAAACTTTTGCTACTCTGAAGAAAGTTGGTTTTCTTTAGAGGATGTCGACAAAGTGATACAAGTGGGTACTTTTCAAAGTAATTTGATAGATCTTCGGCATATTTGCTGGAAGCAATCCCAATCTGGCAGAAAAGCCAGTGTTACAATGGAGTTCATACCTGCCTGGACATATTGAGCATGCTATAAAACTATCAAATTTGGAAAATCAACTTCTGCAATTCAAGGCACAGGCTGGCTTAATTTCTAAACATTAAATCCTACATGCAGGCTTCTTTACAAATGATCCTTGATACACCACTGAAAGTGTATGGCCGAGAATGACATTAGGCATTCTGTTTACACAGAAAGAGCTGACACCTGTGAGCAGCAGGCCCTGGCGTACAGAGTTGGATGTTTTCTAGCATAAATGCCCCTGTGGTCTAGGATATAGATGAAAAATGATTAATAAGAGCCTTGTTGGACACAGGCCTTGGGGGACTTCAGAGCTGCTTTTTGGGTAGGTTATTTGTTTGCATTTCAAAAAAGAAAAATTCAGGAAGTATGGAGTAAGATTTAGTGAGCTAATGAATAGGTAGGTGTACAAGCTTGACCAAATACCACTTCTCATCTCAACAACCCAAACCTCCCACTCCATCATCTTTTATAAATTTGTCCTTTTGTCTTGTAAAAGGTAGAAATGGGTTGGAGTTAAATGCTACCCTCAGGTATTGTTTTCCTGCTAAAGACCAGAAATGCGAGGAACAGAGAACAATAATCAGCACAGTAATGAAATAGTTCTATTTATAATCTTCAATAAACCAGATGTTTTTATAATCGCAGGGAGTCATGCTTTGATCAGTGGCTATCAGACTATTAACAGATAAAAATGCCTAAGGATTTCACAAATTTGGTTATCCCACTGCAGGAGCTAAAGTTCAGCCAGGCATCTTGTATTTTCAATGACCCAGTCATAAATAGGATCTAAAACATGTGGCTATTAGGAATGAAGTATAAACTGATAGTTCATGTATGTACCAACTGTCTGGGCTACTCCAGCTGGTACTACATTTTAGACACAACTTCCAAAACAGAGTATTTCCTTGTGAGGTAGAAAAACACATACCTCAGACCCATTATCGCTTTGAATGAGTTACTTAGTCTTAACCACTACACCACACTGCATTTTTTTTTAAGAGCTCTGGTCCTACAGTAGTGCAAAGACCTGGTTCCAAATTCTAGTTCCTCAGTTTACTAGCTGTGTGTCATGAAATAAACACCTTGATTTTTTTTTTTTTTTGAGTCTCTGTTTCCCTCATCTTGCCAAATGGGGATAATGATACGATATATTCCATTGGGTTTTTGTAAGGATCAAATAAGATAATCTAAGAAAAGCATGCTTAGCTTACTACCTGGCACACAGTAAGTAAAGTGCTCAATAAATCAACATTCCTAATGAACTTCTGACACTGGTGGAACTGGACTTTCCCTCTCCTCTTGAAAATACATACTTCTGGGGCGTCTGGATGGCTCAGGTGGTTAAGTGTCTGACTCTTGATTTTGGATCAGGTCATGATCTCATGGTTTGTAGGTTTGAGCCCTGCGTCAGGCTCCATGCTGACAGTGCAGAGCCTGGTTGGGATTCTCTCTCTCTCTCTCTCTCTCTCTCTCTCTGCCCCATGCGACTCATGCTTTCTCTCTCTCAAAATAAATAAACTTAAAAAAAAAAAAGAAAATACTTATTTCTTTCTCACTGTGTACTATGTGTTTTTCTATTTTAATTTCATTGCAATAAAATACACATAAAAGTGGATAATCTTGGAGCACATGGGTGGCTCATTTGGTTGGGCCTTCAACTTCCACTCAGGTCACGATCTTGCAGTACACAAGTTCAAGCCCTAATCAGGCTCTGTGCTGACAGCTTGGAGCCTGGAGCCTGCTTCAGATTCTGCGTCTCCCCCTCACACTGCCTCTCCCCTGCTCGTGCTCTGTCTCTCTCTAAGAAATAAATATTAAAAAAGTTTTTTTTAGGAAAGTGCATAATCTTAAGTGTATAGCTTGATGAATTTTCAGAATTTGAACACACTCATGTAGCACCATTATCAAGAAATAGACTACCAGGAGACTTACAAGCCTTGCCTTGACTCCTGTTTTTGGGTTGCTAGCGCTAAGGGTAAGCGCTATACTCTTTTTTTTTTGAAATATACTTTTTAAAATTATCTTTCTGGGGCACCTGGGTGGCTCAGTTGGTTGAAATAAAATATTTTTATTTATAAAAAAATAAATAAATGATTAAAGCTGTCTGCCTATACAATTTAGAGTAGCATTAAAAAATATACTTAGGAATAAACTTAACAACATATGTGTTAATACCCATAAAGCTGAAAACAACAAAATAGTGCCAAGGGAAATTAAAAAAAATTTTTTTTAATGTTTATTTATTTTTGTGCATGAGAGACACACAGAGCACAAGCAGGGGAGGGGAGAGAGAGGGAGACACAGAATCCAAAGCAGACTCCAGACTCTGAGCTGTCAGTACAGAGCCTGATGTGGAGCTTGAACCTATGAGC